ACATTTCATCACTCAAAATTTGATTAACATTTTACCATCAAGTAATGATTATTCTTAAATTGGTATATTCTTGGTATCTTGTGATCAATTGAGGGGGAATATATTACTATGGTTGATTTAAAATTTCGATCTTATCCTCCTCTCATATGTGCTATTATTTTGCTTATAAAAGAATTTGAGTAAGATAAATTTGAAAAGCATTGAAAATGAAATGTTTATTGTTTCCTATAATCATCTTTTGATCTTAAATGTCATATCTTTTTGCTTATGTCGAAAGGAGAAAATGAAGTGAGATGATTATGCATGCTTTGATATGATACGTTTTGAATATATGATTATGCATGCCTTGATATAATATGCTTTTGAATATATGATCATTGATTTGTAAAAGATATGGGGAATATAAATTGCATGATAAATTTATTCCTTTATCAATATGATATCATTATATTCTTGCTATAATTAACTTCCTTCTCGTATATCTTTTTACTTATGCCAAAAGAGGGAAGATGAATTAGATGATTATACATGATAGGGGGAATATAAGTGAAAACGATAAGGGGAATATATGTATACAACTTTATTCTTTATCAATTTGTCTTAATTTGTACATTGCATATCATCGTGTTTGTCATAATAAAAAATGGGGAAATTGTTGACTTATGGTTGATGTCTTGTTTTGATTATCACAAACAAATTGCATTTATTTCTAACAAATTGATTTCGAATGTCTATAGTGATTATTGCAAATCAATATAATTGAAGACACGAAGTTCAAGACTAAGAAATTTGCATACAACGTGGACGTGGAAACAAAATTGATCAAACGAGGTTATGAAGAATGATATTGCAAAACTCGCAAAAAAATGTCTCAACAAGAATCGAGATAAAAGTCGAAGTACGCCAGTAATGCACGTCAAGATGTTCAAGACAAAAAGCTTTGACCTTGTGCAATCATATGTAAAGGTAAAATGTTTCAATACATGGCAATGATTCGTGACGAGCTCAAGTTTTGACTTCACAATTGAAAAATCACGACAAAACGTTTTACTAGTAAAATATGTTTTCAAAGGTAAAAATCGAAACAAACATTTTTAAATATGACAAATACTTTGAAAATCATTTTTAAACGTCCCTCAAGTACCTACATTTGATGAATATTAAAATGGGGGATGTAAATCAATGCATTGGACCGAACCTCCATAACATATCGTTTTTCACTCTCTATCCCTTTTACTTAACGCATTTATTTCGTACAAATTTACATTGTTACATTTACGTGTTTACTTGTATTTAGATTATTCTCTATCATTTGCGTGCTCACTATATTTAAATCTTGAGTGATCAACGAAAAAGTTTCAAAAATCAATTCACCCCTCCTAGTTAGTTATTCTTGGGCTAACACAAACATCACTGTATCATGCTCATACTTGACATTATTCAGTTTATCGAAGAAGACACCACTAGTATATATAGCCATTGTGAAGTAGTCTCTGTATCCAGCTGGATGATAATGTGAACGATGGTTAGTACATGAATCAGTTCAAGACCCACAACAAACAATATATACACACTTTTTACGACGAAATTCCAACAAAACACATAAACAATCTAAATCAAAACCCTTTATTTCTTAAATCGCAAAATAGAGCAACTTACCATACACAGAAGCTTCTTCAAACCCTATGAATCCTGGAGCCTCCATTCCCAATAATCACAGTCAAACTGTAAACATACCAAAAAAATAACTAAGTTCAATACCGTATTCCACGATTTCACAAATTTCATGCATGTATTTTTTTAAAAGTAAAAACCCGTTTCCTCAACTTATTGTCGCACATTCGTTGAAGAATGACAGTTGTTGAAACTTTAGAATACCTCGAGAAAACCTCTACTATCGTGGATGTACAAGGAACTGATCGTACAACGTGAGTTAGCATCCAGAATCCTCTCAACCTTCGTATCTCTTCGCCTTGCACAAAAACTCCCTTTTCATGTTGGGAGGGTGGTATTAAAGACGAAAATATAAATTGACGCATTTGTCCTTTCTTATTTATCAATTTTCCCCCTTTTTCCCTGAAATGCTGACGACATAGGTGTTTTTGGCACAAAACATTTGTAACAGGGGAGTTTTTTGCGATTTTCAATAGGTATGTGGTATTTCGCAAATTCAAATGTTTAAAGGAGGTATTCTGCTATTAATCCATCTTTTATGTCTTATTTTATCAAAATTTGTCCTTTTTACAAACTTTGTTATGATGTCACAATCTGTAATTCAGTATTTAGAAATAGTTTAAAGCTTTCTATACTATGAATAATGGCCATTATTTCATAATCAAGACTAATCAAATATTTTCCTTTTATCTTATATTTTCCACTAGCATATCTACAAATCTTTTCTTTGTTTCTTTCTATCACTATATTTATTTGGTTTAGAATATAAAATTCCTCCCCATCATAATTCACATCCAACTATTTTTATTATTTTATATTCATTGTCTAAGGTGGTAAATTTTTAACTTCTTCTTTTATCTTTTTAACTAACTCTATATCAGATTGATTAAAATATTTTTGTCCTTTGCTAGATAACTTGCTATACAGTGATCCTACTTTCTTTCCTAAATTTTTAATAAAATGTCTAGCATAATTTGAAATTCCTAAAAAAGTTTGCAATTTTTTAGTTTTTTCTATTTTATCTGAAAACTGCGGAATCGTCTGTACTGTATGTGGTTCTAGGAATTCCTAGGAATTCAAATTTTTGTTTATTTATTTCCATTTTCTTTTTACTTACAATTAAACAATTTTGTATAAATTTATTTAAAATTATTTCTAAATGTTTCATATGTTCTTTTTTATCTTTACTGTGTACTAAAATATCATCTATATATACACAAACAAAAAGAAACGAATTAATATACAATCCACCTTTTTTTGAAAAATAGAGGGTGTATTTTTTAATTTGAAGGGCATGTCTAACCATTCAAAATGTCCCAATGTTGTAGNGATATTTCACGATATGAATATCCATTTGGATCGATTTAAATTTTTTTTAAAAAACTTAAAATGTGATAAGAATAAATATATTATCGATTAAGTTTAAATTATTAAACGTAAAATCATAATCGTATTTTTCTTTTCTACCCCACCTCACATTCGACCTTCATACTCACACCTATTTCTCTCAATTTCATTTTTCTTCAGTTTTTACGGTTAAAAATGATAAATTTATGGTGTCAAAATGGATATTGAAGGAACTCAATGATTCTCAGAAAAATCATCTTACATCATGCTGTGCTGATAGACAAACATTTTCTGTGAAGTGAATTATTTTAGTTTTTTTTTAAAATCGATTTAATGTATAGTATTATTAGAACACGCTGAAAAGATATTCGACGGAATTTATGAAGTTATGTGATCGTTTGTCATTCTTTTTTTCCTCTATGATTGAATTTTTCGTTGTATTGTAGTTTTAATGCTGATAGAGACCATTGATTTGTCCTAAATTCTGCATTGTATTATCATTAATTAATTAATCTTTACTGCATACGTGCATCGGGTCTTGGTAAAGAAATGAAATACTGGTGCAACTAATACATGTAATTTGAGATTCTATGAGTACGAGATGAATGTAACATAATGCCTTACCTCAATATGTAGAAAAATGAGGGTTAGATTGAACTTCATTATCTTTTTAGCAGGATATCAACACCTAATCATCTATGTCCTGTCTTTTTTTAAAAAAGAACAGAGAGACATTCAAATGCAAAGTCTAGAAAATAAGTTTTTAATCAAATCTCTTAATATTATTTTTGTCACCAATTATCATTTCAACTGTTTTAAATTTAATATAACTAATACTTAAGACAAATAAATTTTTTTTTATATTTACGCTATTATATAGTCAATTATAATGCACGTGCATCTTACTTGTAATATATAGAAGTGTCAAAATGTGCTGAAAAATAAGGATCCAAGATGGTCGAACACATAAAAGGCCTAACTCAAGCACAACTCAATCTAAAACTAGTCATGTTGTGGACCGACTCAACCTCTACAGTTAGGTCATGCTGGACTTGACCGTAGGTATATCAGCTCATGTTACAATTTTATATTGATCCAATGAAAAATCGCATCACATGTTGGGTTAATGTATCAAATAAGAACAAATGCATTTATCCCCACAACTTTGTAAAATGTATACGGTGACCAAGAAACTTCAATTATATAATCTTTAGTTGCATAATGCCCACGTTTTGCTCATCCAGTCATGCACCATGCACACAAGCCGCAATTGGTCCCAGACCAATGCAGGTCGCAAGCTATGAATTTCAGCCAAGTTTTTGGCCAGCCGATCGGACGGAGGGAAATTATTGATGTGTTTATTTGTTTTAAAGCGTTTCAGAAAACAAGTTAAAATCCATTAATTTGACATTTTGAGGAATTAGAGAATTGTTGGCTCTCTACTGGACCATAAACAGAGCCCGACAACTCTCATTTCTTTTGGAATGATGCGCAATGAAGGCCACAGGCCAGTTCTGCAGGTCTACATTTAGATAGGCAGGTCGATCCATGACAAGATCCATGTTAGGCTTGAGCCGGGCTTAGATGTTGGCGAGTTTGAATTGACCGGCTCATTTTGACACCGCTAAGAGGGTGTTTGGTGAGATTAAATTTAGATTTTTAATAAATTGTAATAGAGATTTTTGAAATATATTGTTGAAAAGTTGTGGGTCCCATGAAAGATGTTTTTTAATATTGATTGTTTGACTTTGACTTGAATTAAAATCAAATTTTAATCCAGAGCAAACATGGGCTAAATTTTCGTCTTTTCAGTAGCTCATCTTTATCCAAGACAAAACAATATAACCAAGCAAAATAATGATTCAAACTTCTAATTGATCAATTATCTAAAATTAATCAAATAAAAATAGCAAACAATTAAAAGTACATGTCCAACCACCTAAGAAAAACCAACTTAAATCCGTAAAAGAAATCGCAAATTAAATAATCCAAAACCATCCAACAAGTGAACCAGCCACAAGTCCCATGCCCAAGAACACAACCATGACAATGGCAGCTATTTCCGCCTCCGGAGCCGGCACCGCCTTAGGAGCAAGAATCATAATAACACTTGTTAAATATCCATTGCTTAAACCAAGCATTAGTGTCAGAACCACCACCGGCACCTCCGTCCTCAGCCACTCCGGGCCCCGGAAACAAACACTAAACATAGGATAGAACAAAATCCTACCTATACAACCCCAAGTAGCTTTTCCAATACTCTCCAAAACATATATTCCAGTCAATGACTTGCCCACAAAATCTGATATATTGTAAATTGCAATCAACATAACAGGATACCAATCTTTGAAAAGATTGGACTCAATGCTCTCTGCTAAAAATCCTGGAAAAATTGACAATGTAACAGTATAAATCATGAAAATTCCGAAAGCCGGCCATCGTATTTTTCGAACAATTTCCCAGAATTTAGGGCTTGAGAATAGCTGCAGGGTGTCTTCTTCAACAAGATTGTAGTGTCGTTGCATGAAGGGTAACTTGCACAACAAGTTACAACAAATTATGCAACCCACCAAAATTATAGTACTTGCTAGGAAATATAAGTTGGCACTTGCTTTGAGACCATGTGGGGTTTGTGGAAGTGATGCCTTTGTTATGATCCTCAATATAGAAATAAGAACACCTGCAAATATATTAATTAGGAAATATCCTTTAGCTGATATTCGTTTGTGTAGTATCTTAACGCGACTGAGATGATTAAAGAAGTTAGATACGTAAGATGTGTGCATGTTATCATCTCCATGTTTGTCTAATTCAACGTACCTAGTGACACTACCAAGACACAAAAATGATCAATTACAAGGCTCAAACATATGTCCAAGGCCTTGAGATTAGAATATTGGCTGAGTAACTAGGTTCGAGGTAGAGAGGTCAGATTATTGACCGAGCACGTAGATCCAAGGTCACGAGATTGACCGAGTGCCCTAGTTCAAGACAAAGAAAACCGAACTAAGGTCTCGGTCTCCCTTAATAGCGGCACTAAATGTTACGATATATTTGAAAAATGTCTCCATCACCTTAACAAATTTCTAGGTTTCCTCTAAAAAATAATGATAAGAAGTTGATTCTATAGAGTGTGTGTGTGTGTATTTGTCAAATTTCTCTACACTTATTATTTCATTTTGCTAGACTAACTTGGGCATTCATATGACCACTGAGAAATTTTCTTGCCCTTTTCCATGAACAGAGGAATCAATGATTGAAAAGGGGCAAATGTGGGATTTTTGTTCTCTTTCCTATAACTCTTTTTTCGGTGCCAAATATGCTAGATTAGAAAGGATTATCACGATTAAAGAAGAGAGACATGAAAAAAATTTGTTCATATTTTTGTTGGAATCTGTCTAATTTTATCTAGTTTAACATAAAAACATGTTTTTTTTAAAACCACATAACTATACATGGTATGGTTTATTAATATCGAAAAGTAAACATGTTGACAAAGTTCTACATTAAGAAGCAGCTACATAATCGAATGGATGTAAATGACATGTTTGGTAAGTGAATTGTAATGTTTAGTCAAGATTGACGTTACTATAAGACATACCCGACGAAGCAGTTCCAGCGAAAATTGCCTGCATATATTGTCTTGGCAGCTTTCCTGCAGTTCCAATCAAACTTCCTGCAATCAAACCATCTGCCAAACCACAAATCACAACTGTTGCAACTACCAGATTAAAACCCATGCTGGATTTCATCTTAAGCCCATTTCTGTGCCAAATCCAGTGCATTATTGGAGTCACCATTAGAGACAAAACAAACATAGAAAATCCCAAATTCATCCTCAATCTAAAGCTCAATCTTTTCCTGCACCAATCCCAACTCAACAGCACACCTAGGATGCACAAAGAAGAAGCCATGTATGCTACAGAGAATACTTTCTCTACATGCTTGTTTGGATAAAGATACCCAAAGTAGTCAATTGCTGTGATTAGAGCATTCCATGGAAGTAAATTTCCTGCACCAAGAAAAAAATGAAGTACATATGCAATTTTGTATGTGTCTTTAGGTTCAGAAGTGGGATTTCTTGAATTCTTTAGGCCTTTCATTGCTAACAATTTTTTGCATTCCTAAGAGACTTCATTTGAATGGATGTACTATTTATAAACTGTGATTTAACTTGGTGAAGAGATTTTTTGCTACGTAGCCTAGGTAGAAAAGCTAGGTGAAAGATTCCCATGTTTAAGTCCACATTTAACAACACTATATTCTATGGGCACACTGTCACTAGAGGCACAATGTCACGATTTAATTGCATCCTACATTACGAAGTTAAAGGCTTGATTTACGCGTTTATAGCAAATTAAATTTTTCTTTAAAAATCGAGATTTTGAGACGATTGGTGTCATAGCTCGCAAATACCCTTCTCAAGATAACTCTAGTTGTGAACAAGGATACATAAGGGATAACTATTTTAAGTAGAATCTTGTTTTATGTGATCCAACTAAGAATATGGACCGCCATGGGTGTCAAGTTCGTAAATAAAGGCAGGGGGCAGAGCCAGGAAATTTGTTCAGTGCGGGCACAATTTAATAGACGTCAAATTTTTTAGTGAAATATGTCATTTTATAAGTTACACTTGTTCATTACGAGTTTTCATACTTTGATATCATTGTACAATAACTTTATTATCAATCTTCAAAAATTCTCATTCAAAAAATTGAATTTCTATACTAGGATATATTGTCTTTTTGTTTTGTAGAATCTTATTCAAAGAAAGAATAACAAATTTTTATACTAAAATGTATTGTCTTTTTGTCTTAAAAAAAAAAACTTGAATATCTTGTTGTTATATAGAAACTCTGTCAACTCATAGATACATCCCATCGAGGCTGGGAAGATAAAACTTTGATTAGTCATATTGCAGGTGCCTATTACACTTAACTTTAGCATGCTAATTCAAAAAATAGGCAAGTGGGTCAAACTTTAGCATACTAATTCAACAAGCTGTGGTTCATCCCGCCACTGCATTTCAAATATGGGGCTCTCAAAATTTAAGGATAAAAAAAAGGGAATAGGCATGAGCCCAAAGTTCCTTGCACTGGACTATATGGGGCTCCGCCCCTGAATAAAGGTGGATTATAATAGTTTTAGTATGTTCCGTGTCTCCAAGTTAATGCTTAACTTGTGAGGTTATAATCACTAAGCATCATCTCCTTACAAGTCGTCTGCTCTAGAGATGAATTCTGCTTAACGTGATTGTAACAATAATTATACAATCCACTCTTTAATTCTCGATATGAACCCGATAAGAACACCAATTTTTACCAGAGCCAATAATGTAACTGTAAACCGGTATCGATGCATGATTCGCCCCTATATCAAAGTTAGGCACTGATTTGCATCATTGCATGCATAATATATCATCTCTTAAAAAGTCTCTTTATTTATGTCTATTTCAATAGGAATGATATTTTAAAAGGGTAGGCAAACAAGCTACTTGATCAAATAAATTGGAGGGTCAGTGTTTATTTGAAAAAACTTTTGTTCATGATTTGGACATGGGACCCTACACTGCATGACAGACCCCAGCTTGACTTGACATGCAAAGAAGCTGAACCAGTGTTTATTAGTTGACAATTCTACTTAAATTTGACATGGATTTGATTGACAAGTATGAAATTAGAATCAAATGAACTGTATATATACTACCGTGGCCTGATAAAATTATTCTCTGTAGGGACATGAAATGGATGGGTGTTGGGTAGTACTTCAAAGCTCTCTTTATTCTACTGCAGGCTGCTGCACATGATAAATCAAACACAAACAATGGTTGGATCATATTTATTACAACTCATAAGCATTTTACCCATATTTCGACGAGTTAGTCTATAGGTACAGAAAAAACTTACAGAAATTTTACAGAATTTTGAAATGGACGGCGCAGATGCAAAGTTTGGGAAAATATATAAAAACACAGACCGACAGCATCCTGTCAATTTTCTGGGATACTCAGGGAATTTTCCTATTTCGGCTTTCTAGGACGACGAAGGTTTCAAGAAATACGTCATAAAAATATAATCGGCAACATAGAACCAACGAGGAAACATTTAATACGACATGGTAGATGTTAAGATTTTGGGTTCCATCTTAAAATGTCAACCCTGTTAAGAGGAGTAGTCCAAACTCTTATAAATTGGTTTATATTTTTATCTTTATTCGATGTGAGATTTTATCCCTTAACATGTTAAGATTTAATATTCCATCTTAAAATGTCAACCTTATTAAGAGGAGTAGCACAAACTCTTGTAAATTGGTCTATATTTTTATCTTTATTCGATGTGAAATTTTATTCCTTAATGTGACTCCACAAGATGGTGACTCGTTTGGGCATACCAATTTTAAAATTCGTGTGCCTAATTTTTTTATTTTTTTTAATTTTAATCGGATCAAATTGCTCGTTGGTGCTTAATAAGCTCTGATACTATGTTAATATTTGAGATTCCATCTTAAAAGGTCAACCTTGTTAAGAGGAGTAGTCCAAATTCTTATAAATTTGTCTATATTTTCATCTTTAGTAGATATGTTTAAATCAACGTAACTTTTGATTGATATTTGTGACAATTATTTCATAGTTGTAGTTTATTTAGGGGCCATTGGCATGACTTTGAAAAATCAAAACTGTTTCTGAGATTAAAAAGTTATTTTTAAACATGTTTTGATTATTTTTTTTTAGAAATGTTTTGTTTGGACAAAAGTGATTCTAAATAAAGCAAATTTAAGGTAATTTCCTCAAGAAACCTTTATACAAGAAACAAAAGTAAAAGTCTTACCAAACAAACCCTCAATATAGTATGGCCGAAGAGTCTTGATCTTATTACGTCCTAAGAATACATTAAATTAATTCTTTGGAAGGACACGAATATTTTTATCTTTTTTTCTTTTTTTGAGGATATATGACAAACTAGCCTAGTCCTAGTGGCACATAAACATGATATAGATTCACCAAATTGTGAGATTTATATGTGAAATACAATATTCTTATAATTAGAGCCTGCTTTTATGGATTATTTCGTCTAGCGATATTCTTACAAAGTTGGATAGGGAGAATTTTAGGTCCTTTTTCCACTTTTGTCAACAATATTTTATTATTCTTTTGTTTAAGGCAATCCAGTCCCATTATTCCATTTGGTCGTGAACAATTTTTTAATCAGGGTGTCGGGGACTGCAGATGTGAACTCTTAACTAGCAACCTTGCCTTTGAACAAAAAGGGTAAAAAAAAAAAAGAAAAAATCAATTGAAGTATCATCCCATACGTGTTTATAGACATTTTTTTTATTTAATTCTCATCCTATCGAGAATTTAGTTGTGATAATTTCTCATCCTCTCATTTATTGGAACGATAGTAAATTTAAGGTCCGTTTGATTGCAAGAATGAAATTTGGGTGGATAGAAAATGAATTTCAGGGAATTGAATTGTTTTTCTGGGAATTGTGAATTAATTGTATTTGATTGATATAATTTTTCACCTAAAAAATGTCGAAATTTTGTATCTTTTGGTGTTCGTTTGACTTTGTTTTTATGAAAATTGTCCATTAAAGGGCAAAAAAATTTTACAGTTGTTCATGGAATTTGTTTCCACAAAAAAAAAAAACATGGAAAGCCATTTTGGTGGGAAATGATTTTCCTCAATTGCCAAGAAAACCCACCGTGTGAGCACCAAGCAAGAAAATCAAATGCCAAGAAAATATTATGCATCAAACAAGATATTTGTGGAAGATGGAATTTGTTTTCCATTTTCCATTGAAAATGTTGATGAATCAAACAAGCTCTTAAAGATGAATTTAGACCTTTTCAATCGATTTAGCACTCGATTAATTGCGATTGTGATGATCGTTATATAACATCATGTACAGTTCACAATTAATCACAATAAGAAATTCGATCAATCATTCTGAGTCATTTTCCATTACTTAGTCTTGTTCAAATCATTGTGCTCATATTGATTTGAGGTGATGTCCATAAAGAATAATTCGCTTGGCTCATGTTTGGTTTGGATTAAAATTCATTTAAAATTTCAAGTTAAAATCA